TGGAATGCATGCAATATCTCTACTGAGACACCAAATAAAGTTTCTTTAAGGCACTTCTCTAGTGAGAAAGCTGGTAGGCAAATACTTCTCCATCTGTATTTTAACAATTTGAAAATTGGTGTTCACCAATTTGTTCCCCGGGGTAACAGTCATTTCCTCTATTATTTGGCATGTATCAAATCATCCTATGAATCAGATAGATCCACATAAAATATTTTAGACTCCAAACAAAGGAAAATCCAAAGGAATGATCCCAGTAACTTTTTTTTTTTTTTGATCCCAGTAACTTTTAAGAAAAGAAATGCAATAGAAATGCAGAGCTGCCTCCCTGGACCATCTAGGAGACTATTGGACAGCTGAGGAGGAAGTAAAAAGCCAACTTTGCATCATTTCTGCATTGGAACAGCCATTGTTCAATGGAAACAAATCACCTGACTTTTTCTTTTTCTTAAGGACCTTATGTTCTGAATACACTTCCCCTTAAGCTTTTTCATAAACAAATAACTAGAAAATTCTCTCAGGAGTGGAAAGGCCAGTTCCTTTTTTCACCTTGGATCAAGTTTGCCTGCCCTTGGCCAAGAAGGGTCCCTGGTTACAGGTGTGGACCTGCTCTTTCCAGTCTTCACCTGCAGCTGGTTCTGTGGTTCTGCTCACTCCCTGGGGACCCGTGGACAGTGTCACCTTCAGAGGCCGACCACCCCACAGGTATGTGAGGCATCGCTGGCCGCTGGCTAAGTTTTCCTCTTGGACTTTCTGTTCCCTTCGATCCTGTTGCTTCACTTTGGATGTCTTGCTGGTCTCTGTGGGTCTAAGCAGAACGGGGTGAATCATTAATCTATAGGTTTTCATTTCCAGGACAAACACGCTTTCCAACAGTGTGGGTGGTGGTTGCCAAGTTCTTAACACGTGGGAGGCGGAAGGCCGTTGAATGTTTTTTATAATGAGCATTTGTTGGTTTAGTCTCTTTGAGAAACATGAGGAAAATTAGCCTGCACTTTTCAGTCCTGACTCTTTGCCAGGTCTCCAGGAGGTTGTCATTTGAGGGAGTAGGGGGTGATTTCCTAGGAGCCTCAGCTATTACCTCATTTGATCTGGCCTCCCATGAACTTGTGAGGGAGGTTCCAGAGGCACTTTCAAAAATGCAGCCTGGGGGTGACAGGAGGGAGTGGCTGGTATTGGAGGAGAGGGGAGGGCAGGGAAAGCAGGTAGATTGCTTGCTCAGGTGACCACTTCTCTTCCCTCCGCAAACTGCCTCAGTTTCTCCAATTCTGTGTGACTCATGTCCGCATTTATTACGGCCTCAGTTCCAATTTTTATGACACTGGCCAATAAATAATGCTTAACAACCATTATGTTTCCTATCAGCCATAATAAACTCCTATCAGCAGCCACACAGTGGTATCAAGAAAGGACATCCACAGCAGTGTCTCACCCCTCAAAGGAGGAGCAAGAAGGCAAAGAGGGTCCTCTCTGGTGGTGCAAGGGGCTAAAACACTATGAGGTTGTCCACAGCCACTGCAGCACGGTTCGATCCCCAGCCAGGGAGGTGACCCACATGGAGCCACAGACCACTCCGGTCTCCGTCTCTGGTGAATCTCTCACTCCTGCACCTCTGGCCTGTACCCTAGTTTTTGTATGTATAAATAAATAAATCTTTGGGAGGGGAAAAAAGGCAAAATGACACAGGGGAGGCCCAAGAACTGAGAGCCCAGGTGGGTCTATTCTGCAAGTGCCCATGTAAACATACTGAATTCCTTTAACTGCGCTGCTGCCAGCATTTGGACAATAAAGGAGAAAATAATAAAATTCCCAGGGTGTGTATGTGTGTGAAAGTACCTGTAACTCCAGCCCTCACTCAGCCATTTGTTCTTTGGGAGGATAAGGAGCTGACCTCTTCAGTGGAGACGCTGACGAGACTGACTGTACCGGTTTTCATCAGAAGTTAGAATGGGCATGTTAAGAAAAAAAAAAAAAAAAACAGAATGAATAAGCCCAAAACAGAGTCCTTCACACCGGGCCCCCACTCAGACTTAATACCTAATTTCTTTGCAGCTTTGCTCTCTTCCAGAAGGGTGATCCTGAACCAATCAATCAGGAGTTTCTTAGAACTAGTGGGATAATCTACATGATAAGACCCCCTGCCTTCCCCTCAGGGAAGACGGATTTACCAGAAATATTTCCTTTGTGAATAACCTTGCCCCACCCTCTTGTGTTTATAAATACCCTCCATATCACTAACCCTTCCCAGCAACTAGATGGAATGCTGCCCAATACAAGAATCATTAATGAAACCATTAGAGCTGTAAATTCATGACTTTTTGCTTTTTACCTTTTTTAATCAACACTTACAGCCACCAATCAGAAATTACCAAACTAAAAGCAAAATCATATCCACCTTCCTTAATTAAAATGTAAATTTCTTTTCCCTGGTGTCACCCTCACCCACCCACTTCCTCCGAAAGTGTACACCATGCATATTTGTTCTACACATAAAGTTCTGTAATAATTGAGTCCTCAGCTCAAAATATTAAAGTACACCCCAAATTAAGAATTTCAGATTATTTATGCAGTTAGTGTTGAACTGATTTCACTTTCTATCTGAGAAGCTAAAATTCAGATAAAAACTGTTATTACTTTCCATTTGGCCTTAAACCTGATGAGCGTTCCCTAAGATGAAGGCACAGCAGTGACCATGCCATACATGGGGCTTCTCTCTACTGGCTACACTACATCACAGCCTACTGCTTCTTGAGCCTGCTGGACTTCTTGCAAAACAGATGAGGGGAAACAAAGGGAAAAGAGTGGCTGGTGGTGTCCATAAGCGAGTACACACACTAGAACCGTAACCATGTACCTCCCAGGGACTAGGGAGGTTCCAGGTTCCCTGTCCCACCCTAAGGAAGGAGGAGCTAGACTGGGAGGTGGAGATAGCAAAGACTGGAAGAAGGAAGGAAACAGATCAGGAAGAAGACCTGGAGGAGGCTTATGGAGCAGGAAGATAAGCGAAAAAGCTCTGCTTGGACATGGAAGGAGACACTTAAAAGAGACAGAGGTGTGGGTGAGAGACCTGTGGGGAGGCTGACAATGGCAGCCTCTACTTCGACTTGTAATGTGACTTTGTTCCTTTCCTTCCAGACTTGCCTGGCTCCTTCTGCCTCTTTCTTGTGAGTACCCAATAGATTTTTGGAGCTCAGCGGCCCTGCCTTGGGCCAACTGTGTTTGGCTGGAAATTTTTTTTTTAAGATTTATTTATTTATGCATACAAACTGGGGTATAGGCCAGAGGTGTGGGGGTTGGGGGTGAGAGGATTCACCAGAGACAGAGTGGGGAGCAGAATAGGCTGATCTACTGAAGTACACTGCTGAGGGGTACAGGGGGCAGGTCAGGAGTGGCCTGCTGCGCTATGGGGTCACCTCCCTGGCCAGGGATCAAATTTGTGCTGCAGTGGCTGTGGATAGCTTCATAGTGCTGTGCTTGACCTATTTCGCCACCAGGGAGGGCCCTGGATAGGCATTTACCCAGAAGGGGACAGGTAAGTTTGGGTGTTTCATGTGGAAACTATTTTAGCTATTTCCCTTCTCTTCTTATTACACACTAATTGTATTAAAGTTATTTTCTATTGAAGGTTTACAAGTTAGAGTATGTTTTGTCTTAATGTAGCAGATGGCAGAATCTATTTAGAGCAGGCGAGTTTGGGGGCCCCGGGGACCCCTGGGACTTCTGCCTGCCCTGTAACAGAATGGGAAACAAGTAAAAATTCTGGAGTGCATCAGGGTGGGGCCATTGGCTTTGGGTCAAATAATCATGCCATAGGCATTGAGTACAATTATTATATTCTCTACAGAATCACAGTTAAGTATGATCAACAAATCCTTGTACTTCAGCTTGTACTATGAGTGATAATCAGCCTAAGGAGGTCAGGTCAACGGGGAAAGGTTTATTGGCTAGCGTTCAGTGATCAAATGGAGGAAGCTGATAATGCACTGCAGAAAAACTTCTGCCAAAGGTGTTGTCAATGCAGTTAAAATTATACAGCACTAGAAAGGGAAATCACAGCCTGCCCTGCCATTATGGCCATCTACATGTGTCCCTTGGCAAAAGGCAGCGGACTGCTGAGTTTTACTTTGGACTTAAAATTTGTCCAAATGAGTGTTGGCAATCTCTGCGTAGGTTACTTAAGATCCATCCACAAACCATTGACACAAAGTCTAAAACCATCTTCCACTCTGCTCTTGGCGAGCTCTGTTCCGTACCAGGTCTGTTAGCAATCATGAACTGACTCCGAGGCAGGAACTGATGGTGCAGGTTAGGCCCAGCACTTTCCACATATGGGAGACTACACAACAGAACTTCAATAAATCATCTCCACGTCACCGTGAATCAAGCTGTCAAATGATAAAATGGGTTTTGCTTGAGTGTGAGGAGGGCTTCACGGGGAGGTAGTTCTGCTGTGGTGAATCCTAGAAAGAACCCCACTCCTGAGAAGGGGGCATCTGGGCGACATCTGGTTTTTTCTTTTCAAACTTGCAATGTTTTTTCAAAAACGTAGGGACCTATAAATTCCCAAACATTTTTTTTTTGCCAAATATTTTGCATCAACATCTCTTGAAACCATGTCTGATTCTGTGAGTTAAACCTGGAAGGAAAAGGCCTTGTTTTCTTTCTTTTCACATCCTGGAATACACCAAAAATGCTAAAATTAATTAAATAAGGCAGAATGTAAGGACATTTTTTTTTTGTATATTTGTTTCGCTTGAAGTGGAATATTTAACAGGTGATGGGCTACTTGACTTCTGAGAAGGTTCATAGGTTGCCAGAGATTTAAGAAGCCTTCAACCAACTTCATTGTTTAATTATTGAAGTGAAGGTCTAGACTTACATTAATCTTCAAAACTTGGGGGAGCTAATGCTCACTAGGCTCTATCTTTCTGAATTGGAAGTTTTCTCAGCTCAGTGTGTTTCATTTAACAGACTCGACAGTACACCCTTCCTGACCAAAGATGCAACAACCTGCTAATAACTATCCTCTGGGAAAGGACAAGGACAGACCAGAGAAAGACTTGCTATTGGATGACACTGAACCAGCCCAGTTTGATCAGGCGAACAGCAACTCTGACAGGGTCCCCTGGAAGCTTCCAGAAACACAACCTGGTAGCTGCATGGAGAAGACAGAGTCACCCCAGCCAGAGGAACAGTTTCAAGACTGTGATACCTTGCTGGGTAGCTCCTCTGAGCAACAATGTGAGAACCAGGGAAATCTGCTCCTCTTTGACAGGCAAGCTCCAGGCCGGATTTCCATCTCTCCCACTTTGAGGAGATTGCGGGACAGTGGCTGTGGGGCTTCGTGGTCACTGTCTAAGCAAGAGACCTTCCAAGTGTCTACCCGGGGAAGTGGGAAGGCACCCGCAGTCTCCTCACGTTTCTTTTCCCAAAGCCTACCTGGAAGCCCAAGGGATTCTTCCAACTTCCTGTCACCCGTGAGGTCAAAAGTGGACTGGACTCCAAAAGAGCCTCTGGACTCTGAAAGTGCCGTCAATGCTGCTGACTTTTTCCAGCCCCAAACAGGGTCTGCTAAGGAGTATGTCCTTCCAGAACCTCAGCCTATCAGTGAGGGGTCCCTCCCCCAGGCCTCTGTTCCAGGGATTCCAGGCTACTCACTACCCAGTCTCACACCACGGCCCTCTACGCCTCAGGTAAAACACTCAAAGCCCCTTGCCCCTCATTCTGTGAACTAAACAGAATAAACGGCAAGGTTGCCAGGGGTCTTGTGATGGGAGCACAGGAAGTGCCTGTTGAGGAAAGCACACTATTTAAGTAAATAGGGTACAGCTGTCTGGAAAATTAGTCTTAGGTCTAGCTCACCTTGAAGGCATTTAAGAAAGGGCCCCCCAAGGCCAGGCTACAGATGCACTGTCAAGCATCAGATAGTAAGTAAAGTGGCCCTTCTGCAAATGCACACCTTTTGAAGAGCATCTGGAATGACTGATTTCAAAGGGGAAAAGAGCAAATTATTCCGAATTCTAATCCTCTTCTCCCTCTCTCCCTCCAAAAGAGAAAATTCCAAAATATTTTAGATGGGAATATGAATTGTGTCTCATTTCATGGTGTCTACTTCAGAATTTGGAGTACACTTAAAACTAAAATGTACATATTTTAAATTTATTTCAGGGAGAAGAGTCACCTCCATCCAGGTGTGTATATCTTTATTCTTTCCAATGCCAAAAGCTGGTGGACACATTACTTTTGTATCTTTATTTCCTCTCTGCTACAGAAAACCTGTTAACCAGGGTATTTTGTTTTACAGCCCCCAAATTTTCTTCACATTTATGAATGAAAGAGTCCTAGTTTCCAGAGTCTCCTTAAAGAGCAAAGCATTTTGCTATGACTCTTGAGGGGGAGGGTAGGACAGCCACGTGGGGTCATGGTCTTCATTTTGAATTGCCAATGACTGAGTAGTAGATTTTGTCAGCAGGAAGAAATGGAAAGGCCAGAAATATTCAACAGCTTTTCAAAGAGAAATTCAGAGTGCATGGATAAAAGGAGCAGGATAGTGTTCCAACCTAGGACACCATTAAAATGCCTGTGATGACGGGAGGGGGGGTGGCGAGGGGGCCCCTCTGGATGCAGGTGTAGAGCGTCTCTTCAGAAGCTGGTTCTGAACTTGCAGGGTGGCCCCCAGGTTGGGGCAGGGATTTGCCAGCCCTCCTAGGGGTGAAAGCTTCTGTGGTAGCCCGGGAAAGAGCCAGGTGTGGTTTCATCCACTCAGTGTGATGGATGATGGCCGAACCCTCATTTCACTTGGAAAGTCACAAAAGAACCCACGGGAATCAGTTACTTTTCTCTTTTATAGTTTCTTTCTTTATTTTTTACATCATTGCTCTCCTGTCAGGGGAGGCCCTGTTGCCCCTCCTAACCCCCGCCACCACGGTTGCCATAACCAACACCCTAATGGTTCCCATGTGCCACCTATAAGTGAAGCCACCTGATAGTTTTCTTTTTTTTCCCCTTCTGACTTTCACTGAGCATGATCCCTCCTAGCTCCATCCATGTTGCTGTAAATGGAAGGCGTTATGGAAGGCGTTATCTAGTTTGATCACTGAGTACAGTTCTATTGTGTATGTAAACCATATCTTCTTGATCCATTCATTTGTTTGGGGTGAGGGCATTTAATTTGTTTCCGTTGTAAATAGGGCTGTGGGGGTTCAGATTTTCTTTCCAATTAGTATTTTGTGTCCTTAGGAGTAGCATCTCAGTTATTTTTCTTTTTGGACGTCTGTGCTCAAATAATAGTTTGTTATTTGTAATTGGTGGGATGAGATCATTCTGAGTAGTCTTTGTTGTTTGAATCCCAGTTGACCTAAATGTATGAATCAAGAAAGAAGATAATCACAAAGCCATAAGAAAGTGCAGATTATGGGGTTCATGTATCCGCTTTTGCTACCTAGCAACTTAGTCAGTCACTTAAAACAACTCATTGCTCTTTCTTATGTGCCTTGTGGTCCATTGTCTCAGTTGAGCTCAACTGGGCATGTCCTCTGGTTTTGGATTCCTGGATCCCAAAATTCATGATTTTTGGATCCTGGATTCATGAGTCTTTGACTGACTTATGAGAGAACTCAAAGGCAAGCCATATCTAGGTAATGCAAAACAATGGTTATTGAGACAGAATTAAGAGCTCTGCGTGCAGGGCCAGTCAAGACTCCTGTCCTAAATGGCAGACATCACTACCTGCCATATTCGCTAGCCTTTTTCATTATTTTTCACTACAATTTGTACCCAGGAGTTGACAGCCAGTAGTCCTTTCTTTTCACCCACCATAGTTTCTTTGAACTGTTCTGTTCCATTCTCTTAGGACTGTGCATCGATCTGGGGTGGGGAGAGGGGAGGCGCTTTCATTCAACCTTCTGCATTCTTCTTTTACCTAAAGTGATAGTCATTATCACATCAACTTAGGAAGAAAAAAAAAATACCTTGCTTTAAAATGGATTAGTATCCTATTCCATTTATAAGTGTTTTTGGAGACAGAATGCATATTTGAATTTTGGATTCTGGTTCTGCTGGGCACTAACAATAAGATCTTAAGTGAGTTCTTTACCTCTCTAAGCCTCATCTTCCTCCACCCTATAATGAGAACAGTAATTTCCACTTCATAGGCTGTTTGTGACAAGCAATATAATGCAAGGAAAGACTTTCACATAGTGTCTAGTAAGATTCAGAGCTCAGTATACACCAGCCGACTTTAAATTAGAATACTACTCGAGAGGATCAATCTAGTCCTTGCAAAGTCTAGGGCATCTGAGGTCCAGGGGGGACACATTTTCTTCAGCCAGAACCCTTCTGGTGCCCCTGAGAGAAGGCTCATTGTTGGTGTTGCCTCATGGGTGAGCAGTCTGTCAGCAGTGGGAGAATTCCCTGGATTCTTGAGATTGTTGCCACCCCAGCCCACACATGGACCTTTGGGTCTTCAGCAGAGAACAGAATAAAGCGACTTTCTGGTACCAGAAGGGAGACGCGGCCACTCCAGCTGCCATGGGAGTAGTCCCTTCGGATTTGACCGGCTTGGGGCAACGCAACTCAGGGTTAGTGAAAGTGGGGCTGAGTTGGGGTTTCTCTGTGGGGTAGGGGGGAGGCAGCTGGCAAGCCCAAGGGACTAAAAGTCTAGGTCAGGTGGCCAGTTATACAATCTCCTAGGTTCAGACTTTTCTAATGAAGCAAAGAACCAGACTAACAATCATCAACACCCCCCCCCAAAAGGCATTTCTCAATGATGCTTGTTTAATTGTGACTTTTCCAAACAAATAAAAGGCAGTGTGAAGTTATTCCATATTTACATAGAGACAATGGCTGTCAACCACACCCCAGATATTTAGCATTTGCTGTTGGCTTATTTCCAACCTTCATCTCCCTATGAGGAAATGAAATTATCAAAAACTTCTCTTTCCCACCCCCTTCAACAAGATGTCTCTACCCCAGGCACACACTTTGTTTGGAGGAGAAAAAGAACAATTCTGAACTTGTGATGATGATTGTTTCCAGAGATAATCAAGCCATACTTGGACACAAGGATTCTGCATGCATGCAATTTTTATAGAAGCTTAAAAGATTCTTTATTCCTAATACTTAGGATAGCAAAAAGAAGTTACCGGATTGGAATCATCAAAGATTCCCGCCTGCCCCACCCCCACCCACACCCCTCAGCAATACTTAGATTAAGAGTCATCCTGAATGCACTGAACTATTTGCATTGAGATCATTAACCCAACTCTCTGCGCAGCCCTGCGGGCATAGCACAGGTTCCCAGCACAGGGTCCAGCGAGCCTGCCCACTGCCGAGCAGGGGCTGCAGGACCGGCCTTCTGCACCACCCATGTCTCCATGTCTCACCATGGACAGATGTACTTGTAAGTGTTCTCCTGGGTCTCTGTACAGTTATAGTGTATGGCTTGATATTTTTACTAACCTCGGAAACACAAAATGCCCACCTTTCCAGAATGAGCACCGAGGCAACAAAGCCAAGGCCACAGCTCTAGGCTTGCGCAAACCCGTTGTCCTCCTCCGCTGTGTCTGCAAACAGAACTCTAAACCCAGGCTAAGCCCTCCCAAAGGCCTGTCTTGTATCATAAGGTACCCCACACCAAGGACAACTAGAAAGGGAGGGGCCATTTAACCATCTGTAAGAGGCTGGGAGAGGGACTCAACATGCATTTGGCTATTACCTACACTTGTAATTATTCACTTAAGACCTAGAATGGCGAAGCAAGTTCATTGAAATGAGCTGGGTATGTGCCATTCTGCAAGTCAGTGTTCCTATGTATTCCAGGAGCTTATTTGACACAGAACCTGCTGTGTCAGGTTCTAGGCTAGAAGCTTAGATTCTGTGATGTGTAAGAAACAGCCGCAGCCTTCCCTGAAATCATCCGGGAACGAAGGAGCAAGGGAGGGAGGAGCCGGCCTTGAGTGGGTCAGAAAGGAAGAACAGATGTTAACCTGGAATTGAAGACGAACAGACTTTTGCCACGCTAAGTGGAGCCAGGCAGGACGCAGTAGCCTCCTGTGCGAAGCCTGGAGGCAGGAAGTTAGGGTGAGTTAGACCAGAGTGGGCAGGAGCCGTCGCTGGCGGCTATTCTGCAGGAGTTTGTGTCAGAAAATGACAGGTGACCCTGGCTGTGTGTGGTTAGTCATTGTTCCATTTACTGAAGAAATGCTGACTGAGTCCTTACTAAATTTAAGCCAAGAGCTAAGAGTTCAGGGTCAGAGGAGCTGACCGCGGATCTGCAGAACTACTTTATCAGCAAGACACTTCCCACGAGGGAGAGTGACATCAGCGGAGGGTTCCCCTCGTTCTTTCGTGTCCATCAGTAGCAAGGGACAGTCTCTGCAAAGAGCATCAGCCGCCCCCATGCTGATAGGACATGTTTCTTGCACTGACAGTAATAAATACAAGAAATTCATCTCTCGACCCTCGCAATAGAACAAAGGCATACTGAACAATGCTGAGGGGAAGTCATGGAAATCTCTGCTATTCCACGCTAGCAGGAATGGACTGAGCAAATAAGTGCTCCGTGGCTCTGGAGTGGCTTCCTGCTGTGTATGCTTTGCCAGCCATTTATTTTGTGACCGACCCACCGACAGGCAGTTTCAAGAAATGGGGTCGAAGAAACTGAAATGGGAGATAGGTCTGTTTAAGTTTTTCCAAAACCTTGGTTCTCGTTTTTCTTTGAGAAAAACCAAAGTACTGACTTTAAGTGGCCAGCCTGGGTCAGGAGGCATGGAGGTTCATACCCAGCGTTCTGGTCACCTCTGAGGGGACCTGTGAGGGGACTTGTGATTTGCAGGTTCTTGTGTTTAAGGGTTTTCTCCTGATAGCCTTCCCAGGCAGAACAAACGGGATGTGTGTGTTGGCATTTCTAGGTGAGATCTTCTAGTATGGATTAGTTACAAATTATCAATGGTGGATGAGGCTGGGAACAACTCAAGTAAATGTGTGATGGGTGTGCCAAAGCCAGCACCAGGCTGCTCACCTCTGACTGCCAGGTCTGAAGGGGGACTGCCGCCTCCCACGCTGAGCCTCTCCTTCCATCTCTCAAGTGCAGGTTCTACGAGCACAGGCGAAGTTCTGTGGTGCTCAGCTTACCTGGACTCGAGATGTTCCCTGGCGACCTTCTGGTGTCAGATGGAGCTGCCGACTACCTGTGCCACCCCTTTCTGGTGCTGAATTCAGGTCCCGTTCCTTATCACGCTTTCATTGTAGGCCTGCGATGGTGAATACCATAATAAGCAGGGGTATGTGCTCTGGCCAGTTAGAACAGGTGTCTTGCCAACTGGAACAGGCATCAATCATGAGTTATGGAACGAGCTGCACACTGGTTTGGACATCAGGATTTGACATTCCATTTACAGAGATGCATGAAGGGTGGATTGACCCTCCAAAGTTTCTCTTGTCAAATCATCTGTCCCATGTACAAGAGCTGGGAGGGTCAGTGACCCAGGGATAGTCACAGTCTTGGGGCCAAATGTTCTCTCTAGGTGGGTGGGCAGCTTTTTCTATCATTGTTATAAAACTCTGTGCACTCAAGTCCTGGAAGATACCTGAACTGGTGTCGTCCAGCCGTGGTGCTACCTTGTGGAAGCAGAAGCCCTATGACAACAGGTCTATATCTATAAAGAGGGGCAGCCTGACAGACTTCAACCCAGCTGAGGAGAAGTTGGAAAAAAAGCAATGATTATGGTTTGTTCCCCATGATTCCAAGGGTAGGTGAAGAATTTTCTACTCTGGAGTATTTTTAAAGGTTTTGATCTTACAGATCTTAGAAAAGCAGATCTTTTATATGAAAGAATGCTTCCTTGAAGAGACAGCACATAAAATAGCTCCAGATGGAGTTGAAATGCTTGAAAAATGGGGTGGTTCCCTAAGATTCACCTTCAAGTCATCCCCAGAAGCCCAGAGTCCCTCTGTGTCATCTTTTAAAGAAGCTAGAATAGTTCACTGCTCCCAACTCCTGGCCTTAAGCTTTGGTGTGCATAGGATCACGTAAGGACAGCATAGAGAAAGATTCTGGCTCAGCAAAACTCAGTATCTTATATCAATTATAAAATACTGTGGATTCAAGAAAGACTTGTTTAAACTTTTGACTACTTATGAAGCTCTCCCAAGGCCCTAAAATTATCTCCAAAGTTAGAAAAGCATAGGGAAGAAATCTGGTGAGACCAGAGATCCCAATTATTGCAGTTCTAATTGGGTAGACACAAGTACCACCAAGTGTGAGGACAAAGAGTGGTCAAACTGGATTGTCCCAAGGGGAGATTCCACCTCATCTCCTTTTCCAAAAGGTCAGTGAGGGCTCTGCCTGGTGGCACAATGGGTCAAAAAAAAAAGTCAATGAGTTAGATAATCAGTCAGACAGGGGCGTTCCAGGGCGCCGACAAGGGATAGTACCTGAAGCCCATCCACATCGTTAATGACACACCGGTAATTCCCTCTAGAGCACTAAAGTAATATGCAGCATCTCCTAGTGTAGTTTGCAGAAGGGGGTAAATAAGGCATCCACGCTTTAAGCAGGGTCATCAGAATACCTTGATCATAACCTAGGAGTAGCCCCCAGCTTTTTCTGGGTAACATTACAAGTTGATAAATATGACATACAAATCAAGAGATCAGAACAATCCAAGCTTTACTGCTGATGACCTAAAGGTATTAGTGAATATGACGTCCGTCTAGGCTCAGAGCAAGTCCTAGGGACACCTGCAGTGGCCAGTAGTGACAGGAAGTCCCTACAGACCAATTGTTGACTCGTGTTCATGTTCCCCAAGCAGAAGCCTGCGATCCGCTCACCTGGGTCTTACTGGGTCTCTGCATCTCCATGTCTCCAATTGTATCTGACTGTTGAAGTCATCTATGCTGGAATGGTTTCTGCTAAAATGGAGTTAAAATGAGGTCCTTTCACTTCCAGAGTGCTATGGCTTAATGAAATGTTCAAAATTTTTGTTTTTACATTTTATAAATTTCTCCACAAGTGATGGAGAAAAGAAGGCAAGGGCCCTCCATAGTGGTTAAAGCGCAGCACTATGAAGCTATCCGCAGCCACTGCAGCATTAGTTCAATCCCCAGCTAGGGAGTGACCCACATGGCGTGGCAGATCTCTCCTGTCCCACCCACTGCTCCCCTCAGCAGTGTATTTCAGTAGATCTTCCTGTTCTGCTCCCCTCTCTGTCTCTGGTGAATCCTCTCACCACCACCCCCCACCAACTCTGGCCTGTACCCCAGTTCTGTGTGTGTAAATAAATAAATCTTTTTAAAAAAAAAAGAATGCAAGATAATACTTTGGTAATAAACCTGGACAGTATCTTCTAATGTAGCAAAAAGAACAACAGCCTTTAGTTTCCAGCATTGCTTCACTCACACACATGTGTAAATTTGGATTTCCATTCTGTATATTCTCAAGAGAAGGAGAATTAAAGCAAGCTGGGTTCTGGTTGATCCATCTGAAACAGCAGGTTTTATAAAGCACTACAGTGATTTCTATAGTTACTGAAAGTACTAATATATTTTCTTTTCACCAACAGAAGCCAAAAAACCCAGATGGCCTTTCTCCAAGAGAGGAGTGGTGAGTGGCGTGTGTCATCATTTTTGTTTTCCTTTTTCCACCTGTAGCTGAGAACGTAAGCACTGGCAGAAGAGTCTTTATTTCACTTTTTCTCTTTATGAGGGCAGATGGCACATGGGATTTAAACAATATCCTCATTTCCACAGTAGTGGGCGCAAAACATGCCAAATGTGCAGCAAAACAGTGCTAATTGCCAGAGGCTAATGAGCTCTGCGAAGAAAACAAAGCAATCCTAATATTGTGGTGCTTTACCACTCCAAATTTATAAGTCGATACAGTTTAGAAAACAGCTCACTCAATGAAGTCAACTTGCACAAACATTATGCCCTGGTTTGCAATCAGTGCGGTGCATATGGGGAACACTGAAAAATTAATGAAGCACACAACCAGACTCCACAAATACACTTCTGTTCCTGAGATGCTTGCTTGGATTAATCCTAGTGGGTTTTTTAAATTCATTCTTGGGCCTGTCTCTTAACTCATTCTCATAACAACCCAGGGAAACTGAGGTACAATAACTTGCCAGAGGTCACCGCGCCATGAAGCAGCAGAGTGGGGTTTATCCCCAGCAGCCTCCGTCTGACTCTGGGTGTGCTTCAGTGTGCTGCTCTTCCAGCGTGGGCGCCAGAATCAGAACCAGACACGTCTCCTTCCTTCCTTCCACCGAAGCTCTGAGTTCTCGTCTGTTCTCACAGATTCAAAACCACTCTTTGTCAACTCTCCCAAATGCTCAGATTCGTGGTCATATTCTTGTTTCTCCCTTCACTGCAGTTCTGTGTCATCCTTTCCTATTGCAAACTTCCATCCCACCCTAGAATTAACCTTGGCTTCTTTTCTCATCCTCCATATCCCCAAAGTCCTCTCAAGTGCTTCTCATCATCTCTCCTAACCACAGCTAAAGCCCAAGCTGTTCAGGGGGGTCTGTCCCTCAGAAGAATTCCGGTAACCTCTGCAGGGACTCCTCGCTCCTCAGTGCTGTGTCCACCAGCATGTTGATCAGGTTGGTCAGACCCAGGAAGAGCCCCAGCGAGTGCTCTTCATGAGAGAGGGCTGATGCCCACCACCTCATGGCCTCAATGCTGCAACTATTGTCTCAGCTTCTTTATCTTCTGACTAGCTGCCAGGATATTTTATTTCCACAAAAGGCAGTTGCTATGGTTTCAGACATCAACAAAAGACATATGTCCAAATTGCTGTAGGAGGTCCCCTAGGCTCCAAAATTCCTTAGCTACTGTGGAAGCTAGTGAGTACCTGATAGGTTTCCTCTTTCAGCACCATAATCGCAGCCACAGGCACCAGCACATTCTGAAACTGTTTACAGGGTCTCCATTCAGATACACAGAAGCACCTGCCTGCCATAGGGGGTAACCGGTGCCTTATCTTTCTCGCTAACACAAAGTTGATTGATAACTTCCACCAAACACACTAAATCCATGTATAGTATCATACACCTGGGGCAACAAATAAGCTAAAAAATTATTTGTGGTAAGTGTTCATTTGGAATACAGCCAAGTTGACTTCAGAAAGCCTTAGACATCGTTATTTGACTTCTTGGTTTAGTTGATAAAATGAGCTCTTCAAGTGGTAATTCATAATATAGCAATCGAATATTGAATGAATCCAAACACAAAGGGCACAATAATACCAAGTTTGAAAAGCAAGTTACAAAAGAATGTCATAAGCATGACACCAATAAGTTAATTATAAATACAATCAAAAAGGCGTTTTCAGTGGTTATCTGGGGGGGGTAAAAATTACGGGTGACATTTTTTTGTTTCTCTTTATTTTTTCAAATTTTCTGCAATAACCATTATTTTGTAATAAAAAATTTAACTAGTATTTAAAAAGTAAAAATTGTAAGAAAAAAATATAACTTATTTTAAATGGGTGGCTCCATTCTAAGGAAACTAGAATCTCTAGCATATTCTGGTATTCTTTAGCAGAGTTTTTGTGTTAGGCATTTCCTTTAACACTCAGTTTTATTCAGTCATCTGTTAAATAAGGATTTGAACTAATACATCTGAGGAGCTTTCTGAAGTAACCTCCTCTAATCCAGTGTTTGAAAACTTAGAACTGTAATGGATGCTCTATCTGTCCAAAGAGTAATAGAGACTTAAAGTCTATCAGTTCTCTGTATGACTGCTGGGTGCCTTGGGGTTTTTTTATTCGTAAAATTAGATGTTCGGACTAGACACTCTCTCTAGCTTCTGCCCTCCAGGGCTGACATTCTGTGATCCTGGAGTCAGAGTAGGACTTAGAAATGGCTTTCAACAATTTTTTTCTTTTCCGACAGCCGTTATGATGGTGCATACACTGTTCTCATGCATGAATGAACAAGTGATTCTTAAACTCTCAAAATTGTGCATTAAAGAAATCAAGTTTGCAGAACCTGTTTCTTCTAACCTTCTTTAATTAAGCAGGGCAAAGACAGACACAAGCACATATCAGATCTGGAAAACTGCCTCTCCTCTGTGAAGATTATAGACTTCAGGGGCTCCACGTTCCATAACCTTAAGGTATCTTGTCGATTGTTTGCTGTGTGACGTGGCTTCTTTTTGGTTTTAGTTTTTGCTTTAAGTTGTCCAGTTATTTTCTGGTTCATAACAACAGCAAGACACGTGGAGTGGGAAGCTGGGTGGGATGAGGTCTTCTCTCTCAAATGTACACTGAAGTCTTGGGAAATTCATTTTATTTTAAATTAGGGCATCGGTCTGGGGCCACTCTGTCATCCAGGAAGCCCAAGATAAATGTTAAAGAGATGTTACTACTATTCTCCTCGCTGGACCTCAATTTCATCATTTGAAAACAAAGCTGTTTTGCTTTGACAGTTTCTAAAGGCCTCTTTAAGCTTTCAGAATTTTATGATTCCTCAGTAGTTCATTTCAACACATTTTGCCATTGAACCTATATTAAATTACCCAGTTCTGGATATGCAGTTTCTTGAGGATTTATTTTTTCAATGCACTGAAGGGGATTCATAAAATCCTGACACAGAATTCAACATCAATTTGAATTCCTTTTAATTTTAACTAAAAATAACAGCAGCGTGCTCTCCGTGCTTCCTACCATCAGGACCCGGCATCCCAAAGCCAGACAGAGAGAAGCTGCTGTTTGGGGAGTTTGAGGTGCCAAGCCAGATGGCCACCAAGCCAGATGGCCAAGACATGCAGAGGGAAATCATGATTTGGGGGGTTGCTTGTTCCTGCTGTTGGACAGCAAGTCCAAGTAAATGGAGATGCTTTGTTCTGTTTTCTCCCATGCGAAGGATAAGACCTGGAATGAAGTGGTAGAAACACATCAGAGTCTCCCTACAGACCAGCTGGACTTGTGGAAGCAGCAGGAGGCCATGTGGGAGCTCTTCACCAGCGAATGCACCTACTTCCTGGACCACTTACTGGTTCTTAAAGTGGTAATGCTGGTTTTGGCTTTTATAGCACATGGAGAAGTTTCATTTGATTCTCTGGCCCTTGCTTTCCTCTTTCGTGCTGAAAAAAGGAAAGTTGGGTGGGGGAGTCCCTTCTTTGAGGAGATTACTTGTTTACTTTTGCTTGTCTGCAATTTGTCTCCTCATTCTTGTCCACGTAGCCTCTCCAGAATGGACGAGATCTTCTAAGTTAACTGTCCAGATCCATCTCTGATGCCTGGATCCCTTCTCTCTTCCTCCCATCCTGTGCTCACACACAGCTGAAGCAGGGTGCACACAGCCACCCTCAACACAGCCCTTTCATCTTTCATCAGATCCCTCTGTGAAGCTCTTGCTCCCTCACAAACAGGGCAGTCAATTTCTGGGCAACCATCCACTTGTAGTCTGGTGGAATAAGGTTACCTGGAGCAGGCCTGGTATCTGCTATGTAAATGGTGACTCTCAGGTTGTCCCATGGTGCAGCCCTGACCTGGTGATGCTCTGAGCAGAGACTTCCTTGGGGAACATCTCTAGAGGGAGAAGATCGTTTCAAGATCACAGGGATCCTGAGCCTCTTTGCTCTCAAGATTGTCTCTGCCCATAAGCCACTATGGCTTCTCTCATGCAGGAAGAAGCACTGTGATGGGAGATTGAAGGTCAAGTCCTGGACTTGCCATGTGAATTTAAGAAAGCCTAGTCCTCCATTCCCTAACTCCAGGGGTTGGTAGCTTTCTGTAAAGACAGTAAGTACTTCAGACCTTGCAGTCATGTGGTCTTCATGCCTTGCTCAGCTGCCCGTGGCAGCGCAAAAGAAGCCACGAGTAATTTATGAGGGAATCTGAATGTCTGTGTTTTGGTTTAACTCATTCTGTAAAGACCAGCTTAAAACAAGATGGCAGAACAATCCTTCCATTCTCTCAGGCCAATGGCGACCAGAATTCAGGTGCTAAGCCCTCCATTATCTCGGGTCAGCAGCCAGTGATCTGAAAAATAAAGTGTTTCTAGAGTCAATGCTGTCTCTACATATTAGCTCGACTCCCAGTAACAATGTTAGCGATGGGGAACATGGAACTGGGTGGTCACAAGAGGGTATTGCAGAGCACTGCCCTGCTCTCTACTTCCTGCAGAACCTAGTAACACATGTTTTATCCCACTGCAAACTGCATAAGATTTTCAAACCAGCATTTTCTGTTTTGACAGCAACCAGTTTGAGTCTACCTATTTTCTAATGCCATGATGTATTTAGAGTAGTTATATAATTCCCTCTATACATCAATATGAATTTTCCAGGATTGCTCATAAAGAATTTTGTAACTCACGTAAAACAAATATACTGGAGGCTATAATATATTTTTTAATGACCAAAATTTCTGCAGAACAAAACGTCTTATACTAAGAAGGCTATTTCTTTTGAATGATCTGAATTTACCTATAAGAATGAGTTCTGTTTCTTACAATTATGATTTTAAAAGCTTGGGATTGACAGATTTCCTTACAGCCAGCACTAAGTATTTTAGAACAAGCAATGTCAGTGGTCCTTAAAGTGCAGGCCTTAAACCAACAGAATCCAGATCACTTGGAAATGTGTCAGGAATGCATGTTCCGGAATCGTTCAGAGACCCACTGAATCAGAAACTGTAATGGAGTAAGTTTAAGAATCATTCACTACATAATTACTAGAAATATGAATTTCTAGAATATTACGAGAAATAGGAATTGGTAAAGTTGGCTTTCTAACATCCTTCTTTTCATACCAAGGATTCTTAAATAGCAGGTCCCTTTGACTGCTTCATCATATTTATACAAAGTAATTCTAATGCAATAAATTTGTCTTTCTGTAGTTTATAGACTCAGGGCATCTGTGATGGTTGTAGTTCTTTCTTAGCTGGCTACAAGGTAATTCTGCTACTGTTTGAAAACATCCTATCACATAAGAATATTAACACTTCCTCAGTGATTTCATTAATACTTAATGCCTTTATCCAAATCTAAACCTCTTACCAGTTATCAAATAGTAACTCATTAATTCTCTTTTTATGTGGAAATGGGAATCAGTAATGGTTGGCTGTCTAACAGCTTTCTTACAGAAGAACTCTAAAATAGACAACTAATTTAATTCCCTGAAAATAAAGCATAGTTGGGGCTTTTGCTGAAGAGATGAATGAAAACTCAGCAACATATTGTTACAGTATGAGCTTAAGCAATTCTTGCTGCTGGTGAGAAGGGAGACAGTCTTCTTTGGCACCATAAGGTGGTGAAAGTCCATTTGAACAGATGATGTTCCATAGGAATGTGGTTGGGTAACAGCAAGCTTCTTGCAGAGGAGTGCAGTGCACCTGTGTTCTCTGGAGCTCAAATGTCATTGTTGGCATTTAGTTAAAAAAAAATCCTTAAACCCTGAAAACCCTGAGTTCTAAATTGTTTTGTAAAGTTCTACTTGGGAGGTCTGTGTTGAATGTTCAAGGAAAGGGTACATTTCCATCCAGAAAGTAATGTGCTTTCATTTATTTTTTTTAAGGTCTTCATGAATACACTAAAATATCTACAAGCTCATGAGTATCTCCTAGATGTGGATTTATGGAGACTTTTTGCAAATCTGGAAGAGTTAAGTCAGGTAAACAAAATAAGATGATGCCAGAAGTCATGTGTCACAATTCACCAGAAAATCATGAAAATTCATGCTCGATCTATTCCCATGTGTTATATTCTATATTGGGAGATGATTTATTCCATGTTCCAGACCCATATACTCCTGTGGTCAGGATGAAAAGTAAATCTAAATGTCCACTGACATCTTTTCAATACATTACAAATATTGACCAGTCTTTAGTAACATTTTCCCCTAACTATTTAAGGAAGTAAATATATCCCTACAATTTCTACAAATTTTCCTGAATGTTTATTCTCAAATATATTTTCTTATAAATAAACAATATCTTTCCTCTAAAAAAAGGAGAGAGGAGAGACACTAAAAAGAAGTTATTCATAAGAAAATGTATAGGAAAAATATATACATATATTGGAGAATGTAGGAAAATGAGTCTTCAAATTTTGCTAGGAGATTAATTTGAAATGGAAAAGATTTGTGACAATGATATTTGAATTTCATCAAATTTTTATTCCTGACATCCCCACCCCCACCCCTGTGTGTGTGTATTCTCATTTTCTTTCTCTCTGGTCCTAGACAAGCTCTGGTTTTGTGAACAGCCTTTTCAGTATCATCAAAGACTATGTCGAAACTTCAGAGACTTCACCGCCAATGGATTTCATCTCTGTGCTCGCAAAGGTAAAATCCTTGCAGGAGATCTCAGTTTCCATGCCCATAAATTCACCCACCTCCCCGATCATTGTTCTCGTCTACTTGTTTCTTTGTTTTTCATTGTTCCTGGGAAAGTTTCACCAGCTCCACCCACAGAGGAACCATCCCTTTCTCCACAAGTCAACATTTTCAAAAATAACTTGCAGATTCTGTTTTCCTATTGTCACGTCTTGTGTGGGTTTTATTAATACAAAACCTGCACACATGGAAAAATCATTTCCAAGTCTGTTTTTTAAATGACTTCCATTTAAAGCAATATTCATGGCAATAGTTTGTGTAGGCTAATTACACGGTTCAGCTGTTCTTCTAACAAAAGTGTCAGTCTCTTAGAAAGGAACAAAACAAGCCTTCAAATCCATCAATATTCTTAATAAGTCGTCTGTGTCTGGACGAAAGAGAAAAGAGGAAAACCTGAAGCCCCAATTTGATAAATGTGCCTTATTTCTTCATTAGATATTTGAGCCTCCTTCTTTGCTCTTTTTTACCTTGAACTTTTTAATCCAGTCCCTGTCTGTTCTCATTTAGCAAGATTTGAAGCCTTAGAATCCAATCTGAGAGAAACAGATTGAGATGCACTGAGCACCTGCAAAACGTCTGTGGAGTTGATGTGCTGTGCACAACAGGTGCAAAATTAGAGGCAGCCCATGGTCTTGGGGAGTTTTCAGTCTAGTAGGGGAACACTTAATCCAGTAATGACACCAATAATTAACCACAACAATAATAATAATAATAATAACAATAATAATCAGAAATATAAACACTGGGATAAAAAGGAATATAGATATTATGAAGGAAAGTTTTCAAGGTGGGGGTGGGGTGTAAATAGTGAGGGGGTCACAGACAAATTCTTTGAGGGGAAGTGATGCTTGGATGAGGTAATAAAAAGGAGAAATATTTAACACGTGAACTAAGCAGGAAATTGGTAATAAACTAATAGAGAGATCCAGTGAACTTTAAAGGAATACTTGAATAAGTAATGCTGTGAAAAAACATGAGAAAGAATATAAATAGTTGGAAATTAGTAAATATCTCAAGATCTCCTATTCCTTTAGAACCTCTATTTTTTTTTTTTTATTTAGCTCTTAATAAAGTCTGGACAAATACCAACTTCTCATCAAAACACAGGAATTGTCTTTGTCTTCTCAGACTGTTATAATAAAATACCACAGACTGGGTGGTTTATATTGCATTTCTCACATATGAAAAGCGGATTCCAAGGTCAGGTGCCAATTTAGTCAGGCAAGGGTCTTCTTCTGGGTCATAATCTCCTGTTGTTCACATGGTGGAAGGGGTCCAGGAGCTCTCTGGAGCCTCTGAGAGGTATGTGAATCTCATTCATGAGGCTCCACCCTCCTGACCTAATCACCTTCCAAAGATCCCACCTCCTAGTACCATTACATTAAAGGTTAAGATTCAATAAATGAATCTGGGGAAGCTGAGGGGACACAAGTGTTCAGACCATAGCCTAAGAGCACTTGTACCCTACCCAAGCATGGGACATCGACAGAGTTTTATTGAAAGTCTCTAATATAATCCACATGAGACAGCGACATGCTGGTACATATAAAGGTGAGTTATAAAGACTTTTCCTAAATTTAAGTGTCTAGTCAGATTAGACACTTAAATTTTGCCATAATAACAAGTAACCCCCAGATCTCAGTGGCATGATATATGTCCATGGTTGCGCTCTGTCCCCTCACTTGGGGAACCATGTTGGATAGCACCATGTGGAACATGTCCAGTTGACCTGGCAAAGACATGAGTGTCCAAAGCTCTCACTGACTCTAAGTTTCTGCTGAAGCAATACAAGGCATAGTCATTGCTATTTCATTAGCCAAAGAAAGCCACATGACCAAGCTCACCATCAATGGAGAGATGCACCTAATCCTGAGGAAGGGGACGTAGATGAGCTGTAATTGTTAACTGCACCATCTCATAAGTTCACCAACTGGAAGTTGGGGTCCATGGTATTCACTTGTGAGCCATTGGAGCAAGACAAGGAAAAAGAAATGAAGATGTTAAAGAATTTGACCAAAGTCACATAGATAATGGGTTGCAGAAGTGGGTTCTAAATATGACCATTTATGGTCTTCAAAGTGCCTCCGTGAAACTACGGTGATGGTGCACAGATGAACTGGTAGTGGATATTTGAGGGAGACTACACATGAGGAGAGAAAGCATACATTGTACAAAAATGAGCAATGATGTAAAATATATATTAATTAATTTAAAATTAAAGAAAGCAAAGAAAGTTGCCTCCTCGTAATGAGTCTCATGGTCTTAGAGACTATAAGTGGATCCTCCCGTTACCTCCAAGTCCTCCTTTCTCCCCTATTACCTGCAATATCACCAACCCTCAAAAATAAACACAATCCTTTCCAAATTATTTCAATGATGAATGACAAAACTTGATATTGCTCCTCATTATTGTCTCCCCATGTTGTATCAAGAGGACAAAGTACTTTTGTTGTATAATGAAATAGTGTTTTAGGGTTTTCATTTTCCTTGCCCTGACTATTGTTACTTCCTTTAGTGGCTTCTTAGGCCGAGTGTTCTTTCTCTACCCGCAACACAAGCTCAACAACAACCAACATGTGTTCAAAAGTCAAGAGCAGCATTTGTTACTAGGTTTGATGCAGCAAATATGAACTTCAACAAAGTATACACAGAAATAAAGGATGAATTAAATTAAGATATACTAAATCAAATCTTTTTTAAATATGGGGTGAGCTCTCCCTGGTGGTGCAACAGGTTAAAACAACACATTATGAAGCTCTCTGAAGCCACTGCAGCATGAGTTCAATCCCCTGCCAGGGAGCTGACCTACATGGCATGGCAGACCTCTCCTGACCCTCCTGCTGCTCCCCTCAGCAGTGTACTTCATCAATCTGCCTGTTCTGCTCCCCAGTCTGTCTCTGGTGAATCCTTTCACTGCCCCTGCACCTCTGGCTGTACCCCAGTTCTGTAAGCATAAAATAAAATGAATATAATCTTTAAAAAAAAATATGGAGGAAGGGAAGGTGACTTATTGAGGGGTCAGCTCAAAGGTTATTATTGTTAAAATACCATATACACATATATTTATATATATACATATATTTTACTGAGGTGACATTGGCTTACAGCACTGTAAACATAGGCTCATTCCCCTCAGGTACATGGTACACACCACACCCTTCACCAAGACACCCATAGTCCTCCACCCTCAGCTACTGGGCACATTTTGTGTTGAGATTTCTATGGTTAGTGATTAGTTTGATTTAGTTTATCTGTATTCTAATATAAGTGACACTATATGATAAAATGACATATTTTTTTTAATGTTGATCATGGAGATTATCTGTTTCTATTGACCCATAGCTCATACTTGATAACACGAGATTCTCCAATTTTCCCACTTCTAGTTAATGATAAAATCAAGGGGAAAAGGAAGGCTGTCCAGGGTCAGTTTCTCTGTGCTTCTATTGACTGACTGTCCCCTTTGCAATCTCTTTGCAGTATTTCCGAGGAAGCCTCTTTCAGAGTCACCAGACCTACTGCCTGAATTACTCAGCTGCTGTCTTTTATCTGGAGAGCCTAAGGCAGAGAGATGACTTTGGAATCTATTTAAAAGTGAAGTACCATTTTCTTTCATGTCTTTCCTGGGACTCTTTGGGTATAACAGGAGCATGTATTCACTGCTGCTTTTCAAAAGTCATATTACACCACTCACCTTTAAGAAAAATCTGCATCAGTATCTGTTTTCATTCACCAGAGAAATCTAAATCAGACATTCACTTTTAAGACAAAAATGAAAATCGCATTCAGTATTTGTTTTGCAGCAACCGTTCAAGGAGCAGCAATACCCTGAGCTAACCTCCTCCCCTGAGAGTTACTTTACACAGACTGTGTATTTATCATGTCATTCCTGTCTACACCACATGTTAGTATGATATAATAGGTTATTTGGGGGGTCTGAACATGCTCAAAATTTTCATTCAAATTAATGTTATTTGCTTCTTTGCTTTATACCCATTTCCATTTAAGAAAGACATAGAAATGTTCTGCTGTTGGATAATGGGAGAAACTCGACTGGAAAATTTGTACCCTAATTAAATAAGAAAGGATAAATATAAATTACCCACAGTCCACTTTAAATACAAATACTTGTATTTAAATACATCAGGCACTGTCCACTGAGGAACTTTAAATGGTGCCCATCTGAAAATCATTCCTCTTAAAACTATAGCTGGAGCTTAAAAATGTTTTATTTGTTCATTGGTTTGTTGGTGGAAGACATTAGCATGTGGTAAGGAGAAAACCAGAATAAAAAACACAGCTCTGTTTGTAACTAGAAGTTTGACTCTTAAAGAACTTGTTCTTTTGTACAAAATCTATTGCACAAAAGCTAGGTGTACCCTGTACATTGAATGGCACCCCCTCCAGTATATCATAATGTGAAGTAGATTGTAATGGAAGATGTCATCCCTAATGTTGAACAACATGGTGATTGTGGATCCCAAAGTCTTAGAAAAGTTCTTCAAGGAGCCCTTGGCGTTTGCTAATAAGCAAACCTGGAAATTACTGTCCTTGATTTTCCTAGTTCCTTCAATCTCTCTTTTGACACTTCCCTAGTCTAAACTATAATTTTTCTATATTTGCCTGAGTTCTTTAGCATAATCCAGAGAAAATGATCCAACATTTCCAGAAAACCAGCTCTTTCTGAAGCTGCAAGAAGCCCTGAGGAGAGCATCATCCCTGAGGTGTGGGAGGAAAGGCTGTCAGAGTTCCCAGAAGCTCAGCTGTGAATAGTGCACTTGTGTCCTGGCCCAAATGAGCCAGGAAGCCTGGGTGTGGTGTGGAGAAGGATGAATGAGCTTTGGGAAAGAGCCTTACTCCTATTTTTATAGCTTCATCTTTCAGTGTTTTTTTGACTCAAATTAAAACTGGAAAAGCTCATTAGATTTCCAAATATATGAATAATTATGTTGCTAAAGTTTTCCTTGAAAAGATAGATTAGATTCCTAGCCTGGCCTCCAAACTGGGGGGAATCTAGATCCATTTCTCTCTCTTTCAAGGTAGGTGTTGATGACTTTAACAAGACTTAGCCACCAAACAATGGGGAAATCCTAAGTCAGTTGTGATACAGAAGGGTAGTCTACATTTGTATATGAGATGGATGATTCTCACATGTACACAGATAGAGCAATCCAAAGGCAAGACTGCAGTCAGCCCTGCCATCAGCCCTCACTCCCTCTCCTCTGGAGGAGGGAGGGAGGGCGGGATAGAGAGAGAACAAACTTTGTACCAGGCCTCTTTGAGAGCTGCTCCCTTGATAAGGCTATGATCTCCACCTGCCTGGGACCACATGTTCAGAAAGCATCAGGCACTGCTCTGGGTACTTTGGGTGGATTATTTCCTTAAAACCTCTTGCCAATCTGATGAGCTAGTCACTCTTGTTATCTGCATTTTACACATGAGCTATCATGGACTTCAGGAAGTTTCCCAAGAGTCCAAGAATGTTATTCCAGCCCAGATAGTGTCTCACCATGACAGATGTATAAGGAGGATTTTTTTTATTTGAAACCTTGAATTCTTTTCACTGTTCCCCTAAACACACAAAACCTCCCCCACTGATATAGACTCACCATGAAAAGCCCTTTGATCTCTGACCTCTCATGAAAGATGTTCGCTCTTTCCTAATGGACTTGAAAAGTGAAGAAAACAGAGTGATGAAGGAAGAACTTACAGCTCCTTTTAGAATGGTCACATGTCTTTGTCTCTCTTCTAAAGTCCTCTGAGACTTTATTAAGACCTTCCACCATCCCTGCCTAGGTCTTGGTCTAAATGGCTTAGCTGATGCTGTTTGTCTGACTGATACTGGGTGTTGTCACATTTACCCTACAGCAGTTGGAGCTGGCAGCCAGAACTGTTCCCTCAGACCTGTAAACTTGAGACACTTGCCCCTGGCTGTGTGTTCTGAGGAACTTCCTGTGTGCTGCTGAGATGCCAGTTACTGGAGCTCCTCAGACACTCAGTGGCCAGGTTGCCACCCATGGGCTGGCAGAAACAGCAGTGGCCAACACCACTGACCAGACCTCTCCACACCCCTCCCTCCCACCATCACCCCTCCTAGCCTTTCCCCTCTATGTCCCTCCTTCCTGGTCCATCCCTTCCAACCCCCAATAAGAGCCACAATCACTTTGAGGTCGGTGAGAACTTATAGGTCATTTAGTGCCTTCCCCCACTTTACAGAAAGGCATTTGAGTATGAAGAAGGGAAAGGGTCTCAACAAGCACTGAAACCTGCATCCTGGCACTCCACTCACCAAGCACTAGCTGCAGGTGGGCAGTGGGAAAGGTCATCTACTATGGGGCTTTCAAACTCAATGTCTAATCTGTGGCGTATGACTTGACTCAGCTAGGGCACTGGTACACCGTGTAAGTGATAACAGTAAAAACACTGACAGTTTCTCATATTCCATCTTCTTAGTGGCTGAGTGGCCAAATGATGTTCTGATACATCTGCTTTTGACTTCCCCAGTGGTGTGAGCAAAATGAGCAGTGCAAACGGCTTCACCTGCCTGAGCTACTCGTGGCCCCATTGCACCGGTTGACTCGATACCCCTTGTTGCTGAAGAATATCTGGAAAAGGAGTACAGATTCTACGGAGAAAATCATGATCTACTCCCTCAAGGACAAAGTTGAAAAGTCAATTCGTAAGTCCCTGTGATGAGTGATGCAGAGCACGGAGCAAGCTTAATCAAAGGTTGGGGGTGAGGAGTGGCAAGCTGTGGCTCCTGGGAACCATCTGGGCTTCCATTCCATTCCATTGACTTGAGGTCATGGCTCTCGGAAACGTGGACTCAAGTTGGAGTTTATTGTAAATCAAACACCCACAACAATGGGCCCCAGTCACATCCTGACAAACCCTTGAGACCTCAGCACTAAGTTTACTCAGGACACCGCTCTGTCTTGAAGGTTTTCAGAAGTGAGTTCAGGCAGGAAAAGTCCTACTTCCCAGATGACTTTGTTTTTAACATCCACACTGAACCCTCACACAAAGCAAGCACAAGCAAACACCACAGGAAGCCCTTCCGGAGGATAAATTGCCAGTCATCATTTTTAGGACACTGAAATTTAAGGCCAATCTAAAAATAATGCCAACATCTTTAGAACCAAAGTCGAGAATGGGTACAGAGCAAGCCCTATAATAACTACAGTTGATTGATGGAGTTCGGTATAATCAAATTCAAATACAAAAGACCATGATATATGCTTGTAAACCAAGATTTCCTGGGGAAGCATCAAAAGAGGACAATCCAAACTGATGATGACCAACTGTACAGAAATACTATAATTTTTCTTTTGTAACCTTCAAAGTAAAATGACCATTCTCTTGGGCATTTCTTTCCTCTTTGTCATTTTATTATTATTATTATTATTATTTTTGGTTCAAATTGTGTTAAAGGGACCCAAAGAACTGTAATTATGTTTACTGAGAATAAGAGAAAATTTCACATTAAAAAGACTTCCTTTTTTAAGAATATTACCTTTAAAAATTATTTTGAAGATTATTACTCATGTGGATAGGCAGATGAGGATGATAATAGTTTCTGTTTTGAAGATTTCTTAATAAAACATGGATTCTCGTTTTGAAGGAAGAGATTCCTGTGGCCTGCTTTGAAGTCTACGAAATTAGCAATGATGGGTCCTCACGGAATCCTCTAACCATGTGATCCTCTCTGTGAATGACTTGCCCATCTGGTTGCCAAAAATCATTTCTAAGTCTCCATAGCAATATGCTATTTAAAATATTGGACAATTAGGCCCTCCCTGGTGGTGCAGCGGGTTAAAGCACAGCACTGAGAATCTAAAGCTGCTTCCGCATGAGTTCGATTCCCGCCTGCCCCGGAGGTGACCACATGGTGTGGCAGACCTCTCCTGACCCACCCGCTGCTCCCCTCAGCAGTGTACTTCGTTGATCTGCCTGTTCTGCTCCCCACTCTGTCTCTGGTGAAGCCTCTCGCCGCCCCTGAGCCTCTGGCCTGTACCCCAGTTCTGTACGCACAAATAATAAATCTTAAAAAAAAAAAATATTGGACAATTAATACAAGCTTTCACAAGAAAAAAGGAGTCCCTAACAGAAAGAAATAATCGTCCCCACCATGAAGCAAATACATGTTTTACGATTAGGACAAAAAGATACATTTATCCTCATTCATCTCATTTTTTTCTTCCTCTAATTATAAGCTGTGTAGCAAGGAATAAGAAAAGACTATCAAGGACTTTATTAATGTCATTGAAACAAAAATGCACCATACATTTACAATTTACTGAATTATTTAAGCTTCATTTTTCTCTGCAAGAGGCTGACTTCAAATGAGCGAGTTTTTCTAAGACATTTAAACAGCAAGCAATATGTTAAATGAACCTAAGAGCATGGTTTGGCTCCGAGGCAGTCAATGTCACTAAATGATTTCTGTAGATCTGGGTTAAAATTCATACCGTAAAGTCACATGTATCTAAATATGTTTTGGGTGTTATTTTATCTTTCAGGGGATCTTGAAGGAAAGGTGAAGTGGCTTGACAACTTCCAAAAATGTAGACATCTACAGGAGATTATAGTGTGGCCTCCACTTTGGGACAGAGATAAAAGATTCTTCATCCCAGAGGTACAAAAATGATCAGTTAAGACCTATGCTCTTTGCCAAACGTTTGGAAATACATGGTTTTCAGGACGCAATACGTTGCATCCTTGGGGGTTGCCTCTGAGAGTTTCTCCCATTGTCCCCCATTCTTGGGTCCGCTTCTGGAACATGTTCTGTTCAACTCACTAAGAACATCTCTTTGATTTTCTCCCTTGTTTTGAAAGGGCCTGAAACACATTTTAAAAGAACACATGGCAGAAAATATCTTGTCACCAACCAACAGACACCTTCTCTATGAGGGAAAATTAACCCTTGCAGGTAAATAACTGCTTCCTTTCAAAATCCAACATCTTGGGAACTGAGGGTGCAGCCAAAGTGGAGGGGGCTGCTGAACGGTGGTGAGGTAATAGGCACTTTGGTGGTGGATGTGTGAACTTGTGCTCCTAAATCAGATACAGTACCATAAATTGAAATTATCTCAGTATTAATAACAACAACAATAATAGAACCAATAGTTTTGCTGCTCTGTAAACTTGTCCAATTGCTGCCAATAGATGGGTAGAAGAACTTGTATTTGCCTATAACCAAAATACTAGGAGATGTGAATCAAAGAGCTTGGAGTTAAGGAATTATGCTTGGTAAAATAATTCACATTGTAATTAGTCCTTGCTTTCCATTTTCTCTCTGTAAAATGGATAATCATATCTATCACATAAGGCTGTTATTAAAATGAAATGACATACATGAAGAGCTTAACTCAAGGTCTGGAATCTAGTGAGTGCTCAAGTCAGCTGTTATCATCTGACTTGTTTTAGTCCTCAACAAGCTGAGCGGCCACACTGAGAACATGTTATGTGACACATGTGACCCTAGGAAACATCTGTGAAGGATATAACATGCTGCTGTCTGAACCCTTCCCTGTAGTTGAGAGGCTCTGCCAGTGAGCAGACCTGCAGTGTAAGTTTAGACGCAGACTGCAGCCCCTGGGACTGGGGATGGGCTTGGGGGACAGAAAGGAAGGGTGGAGGCCAGTGGAAGGACAGGAGGCAGAGCATCCTTGATGAAGAGCACAGCAGGAGAATGCTGGGAAGCAGAAGCCCCTGAAAGGGTGGGTGTTGACAATGTGGTTAGGAGGCTGATTACCAGAGACACTTCTAGCTCTGCCTGACCCACTGTGTCACGTTGGGCCATGACAGCAACCCCCTCACCTGGCAGTGGGAAGAGCGTGGGCCTATTTCCCAACCCCCCTCAAACTGTGCACCACCCCCTTCACACTTACATTTGGAAAGAAAACAATGAAAATTTTTACTTGATGTCATTTATAATTTCAAAAATAATGACCGATTGTGACAAAATGAAATCAAAGAAAGGAAAACATAGCCTGGTACTGTGCCGTTTCCTCGCATGCCTGCCTCACCTGGAATTAGCAGAGATTTTGATCCACTCCTCCCCTCTATCTACAAGCTCTTGGGCACTGTGAGATGCACTGGCATGTCCTAAAGTGTTAGAACAGGAATGGATGGAAAATGATAAATGTGAGAGCTGTTTCAAAGGGGAAAACAGGAAGGCTTCATGATTGGTAACATGGGTGAAGAAGAAATGAGTCAAAGATGCCTCCCAGTGTTCTCATGTTTGTGCTTGAAAGATTGCTTGATAACACTGAGGGTGGTAAGAGAAGGGGGTGAGGGAGTTAGTTTTACAGTTCAGGGGTGGACATGATGAGAGCCCCATGGGCACTGGATGTGATACAGAACAGTGAGGAGCAATAAAACTCAAGGACACTGAAAAAATAATTTACTGGTCACCATCTGGGTTCTTCGCTTGCGTGCACAATTGCAAAACTACTCAGGCTCAGAGAACAAAGATAATGGATTTATTTACCAAACCAGGGAAAAACAAAGAGTTACTGAGGTCAGAAATGGCTGTTTACCTGCCCCAAAGCAGTTCCAGTGTTTTTAAGTCCTAAATACAAACACTCCCAAGATGGCATCTTCCTGCCATTGCCAACCTGCAGCCTGTGGCAGTCAGACTGTAGCTGGTTCCAACTACAGCAGAAGACACACAGGAGATGTTCACTGGAGCTGTCAAGATTCCCCAGGAGAGCACTAGACAAGTGACACTCAAAACAGCAGCTGCAGTGACTGAACAACCCCACAAACAGCCATACTCACCAGCTGAGTGAGGTGCCCCGCACTGGATCTTGGCCATCCCTGATGTGCCCTAACAGCAGCAAACTTGGAACAGTTTTAGTCACTCAGCTACTTGCAAAGTCTTCAAACTTTTCCTCCTTGAGGTTGGCTGTTGGAGGCCTCCCCACATCTTTCACAGGCCTGCAATAGACTTCTAGAAGATTAGCATGGTGGGGGTGGAAATCAAGACTTGAAAACACTGAAATCCCAAAAGCTCAATCCTTGGACACCTTCTACAATTCTTTACATTTCTTATGAGTCTCTGTTCCCAATGCAATATGTTGTATTTTGGGGGCTATCTATCCTCACCAGCACTCCCCCTCCAGGGGCCACCACCAATAACAGTCTTTGGCTTCAGTCCTGGTTCCAGATGAAGAAGATGACGACCATCTCTCCATGAACAGTCATGTCAGATGTGCATTCACATGTTGCGTAGAATCAGGGTTCTTGCACAGGTGGGAGACTCACTAAAGAAGGACATTGTACAGATCAATCCCATTTTCCATAAAATGTTTCTAGCACTTAAATGTGATAGAATGTGGATGACTAAGATCAGGCACTTGTACACGGTGCTAGTCAAAGTCCATCAGATGGAGGCACCATATAGTAATATCAAAGCAAATCAAAGTCACTGGGACTTTGATGTGGAGTTAGCAGAGAAATGGGGTGGGATCATAGTTTTAGAAGCAAGACATTATTTTGAATAGAAAAATCATTGGACTGAGAATCATGGGTGCCGCACTGATAGTAATCATTAGGAAAACAGTTTTGATTCCTTTCATCTTTTCTGTAACTATTGCTGATGTTGATGATGGTGGGGATGACAGTGACAACTAACACTGACATATTGTGTTTCAAAATTTCTCCCAACCTAAAAACTGTGGTGTTAGAACCAAATAAGTATAATTTCTTGTTCACAAAATATGCAAGGCTTCATTTTTGGAGCATAACCAACTTCCCATGGTATTTCATGCTGGCATACCCTTCACTAAATCATTTCTCCCCAAAGATTGCTATTTCTAACTAACTAGAAAATAGCTGTCTAAGAGACAAATGTGGTGGCCAAACAGGGGAAGCATGTAAAGAATATGTGTTTAAGTAGCTGCAGAACTGGATTTAGTCAGCAATGCTGCTCCATCCTCTAACAGAGGACCATCATCCAGACTGAGAAAAAATAAAGGCCTATTTCAGGTAGAGTTGTGACAATTTGTCAGTCTCGGATCTGATTGTGGAGCACTTAGCTAAACAGAATTTCTGTTTCACAGTGGCGACTAGTTAAGTCTAATGAAATTGCCTGCAGCAACATGTGTAAAAGGCCTGATTTTATGCTCACATTTGTCCTTTTGAGTCAATTTATTGCATATGACCATACTTACATTTTAACAGTCAGTTTCTAAACTTACTCATTTTACATGTTGTTTAAAGTTTATTGTGTATCTTCTTTCACCAAAATTAAAACGACTTGAAGGCAGAGATTATGACGTAATCATTGCGGCATAGTTGCATAATCATTGCGGCCAACATTGACTGCTCAGTGGAACACCAGCCCTCAGTCAGTGGTAGCTAAAATACTTACCATTGCTGAGAATAGTCTAGGGATTCTCTGGCTTACGAGATATTTTCTGCTACCTCTTTCCAGTCTCAATTTCAACTTCTTTCTTTCCTCAGAAAACACAAGATTCCTAGATGTTTATCTGTTCCTCTTTGCTGATTTCCTCTTAGTTACCAAAACTAAGCGCAACAAGAAGGTAACATGTTGTTATTTCTAAATATGTTTAGAAATGTTTCCAAACAGGTTGCTGAAAATGCAATTTTTAACATCAACTTGGATTTCACCTCTGAAAAATGGAGACATAATGAAATAATGGATCTTAGTCATATCTTTTTGTACTGAAAACCACAAAGGTAGCAGCCCCAGGGCAGTTCCTAAGGATGTCAGATAAGGGGAATTTTTCAGAATAACTTAGTCTGTATATTCTTGAGGTAACTTCCAGAAGCTGCAGGGCTTTAAGCCTGCCCGCCTAAATAAACAAAACCAAAATAATCTCTCTGCATCAGCCCTTTTCTCTCCCAATTTTCCCACTGTTAACAAAAGCTGCCCTAGTGAGGATCCTCTAAACTATCACCACATGCACAGGCGTACCCAGACCCCATCTGAGAAATGATTTGAAGGCTGGGATGGAGGGAGCCCCATACTCTCAGTGTCTATGTATTTATGCAGGATCCAAACAAATGTACAACTGCTGTTCCAGACAAAATAAGTCTGGAGCTACAGCCACCAAATACCTTCCAAGAATGGAGATTTGCCCTACAAGACAAGTGTCATGGCTTTCATTACTGTTATTATCACCCAATGGGCCTTGGGTCTCATATCCACTGAAGACTTGCTAACCAATCTCCCCTTTCCCACTCTGTTTCCTGAGTGGTCTCAGGAGTCTGTCACCTCCAAGGCTCCAGGACACCTGCTTCGGGGATAGAAAGAGGGGCTTGCAATGTGCCTTAAGCCATCAGACATACCTAAAGCTCTTTCATTCCACTCACATCCTTATTAGCCTTACAGAGGTATGAGACAATGAGACTGGGTATTGCCTATTTTTTAATAATTGAAGCTTCCATATGGCATGTTGGTTAGATGAGTTAAATAATTTAAGGTTCTTTAAGTTCCCGTTAATCAATCTGTGAATAATTGGTGATTGGAAAGGAGTAGAGGCTGCAGAATACTGAGTCACTATTTTTGAGATATGTGTAATTTCCTATCGAAAGTTATCCAGATTAAATGTCTGAACAAGTCAAGCCTGAAACACCTCCAGTCCCTTCAAAAACCTTGGTGCTCAGCACAACCTACCTTTACACTATATAATGGCTCAAATAACGCATGAATTAATGGCAGTTTGATTATATAGAAGGTAATATTCTGTCTTCACACTTCACATCGACTGCAAAATTGAGCAAGTTTACAATTTAATTCCACTTTGCTATTTAATGCACAATATAGGTCAAGGAAATCACATTCTTTTACACCCTTATGTAAAAAAACCCCCAATATCCTATATATTTAAAACAATTTTAATTAGTTACAAGTTATATAGAAATCACTAAATTATCTCAGTTAATATTAGATCCAGTGGACTAAGCTGGCTAAAATGAGGCTCCCCTTTTTCAGGTTTCATATTTAGAGAGATACAGGAAATGAAGAACTTCCCATTGATGTGATGGTGATCAAAACGTTTCCTATTATGGACATTATCTAGTCAGATATCTAAACCTGAGAATCAGAAGCACGATAAATCACAACATCCTTAAAGGAGCTGTTTTTCAAGATCCATAAAGAATGGTGTGGCAGCCTGTATCTGGAGAGGTGTAAACCTGTATGTCGAAATCATATCACATTGTAAACCGACATTACCTAAATAAGAGATCCATAAAGAATAGTAAGATGGATTTCAAATGATTATGTCTAGAAATCAGCTTGCTTTGAGTGTGTACATACTTTAACATACTGTAGGAATGCACACCAACTCTGATTTTCTACTTACTGTTATATTTTCCCGTTTAACTTCAGAAACCTGGAGGCTCAGACCCTGGCTTAATATGCCCTTCACTTACTCCTGAGTTGCAAACAGTCATAAAAGAGGGTGTTTCATGCACAGTGCTCGATCAGCCCATCCCTCTGGATAGACTGGTGGTCAGAAGTATTGACCCCCTCCATGTATCAGGTATGTCCATTTCCATCATTCAGGTGATCTGTCTGCCATTTCTCAGTTCAACATTGATTGCTTTGCTAACAGGACCTGAACTCAATTTACATCTTCATAAAAAACAATACTGGGTTCCTAAGTGTCCAAAGAGTATTTATTCTACCAATTAGTTACGAAAAGAATGTTCAGGTTGGCATCCAATGATTGGGTGATTCAGCTCTGCCACTTGCTGTGTGAATAAGTGACACACTTAAATTTTCCAAGTCACAATTCCTCTTGCTAAAGTATCTTATTAGGTTGTCATGGGAATTACATAAAATTATGAACAACAGTTTGTGCTAGTACTGTTGCTACTGTTCCTGCACAGGTACACCAGGTGTGCCAGAACAGGCCTCAGATGTGTTGGTACACTCTAGTGAAAGACAGAGGCCATATATGTATATATATACATAAATATATAAATTGTTATATTTACTCTGTGTAGAGGGCAGAAATGGGTTTCATTTCATTCTTCTATTCAAGAATTTCCTAAGTGTTCTCTGACATACAGGCTGTCTGAGTATCCCGGAGACACAATGGGGTTCTGAGGTACGGGAAGGGCATTTGGGTCTCCTGGGTGGGTGGCAACAGCATGCAGGAGGAAGCAGATGGCCATTCACCTGGGGTATGGGCTCACAGGAGGCCTGCAGAAGCCAGGCCTGAGGGAAGTGACTTCCTGTCCCATCAGAGGATCAGGAAGAGGGGGTGTACTTCTCACCGCCCTCCATTCACACTAGCAGCCGCGCCCAGAGCTCCAGTGACTGGCTGGGATAGCCTGTCACAGTGTCGTGACCCTCTGTGAATACCTGAATGAACAAACATGAACAAGAACAGTTACAGACTTAAGTATTCACATTGTACATTTAAAGGTTTAACAGCTGTTAATTAATGAATGGAGGCAAACGCTACACCAAAGCAGAAAGTCTCCATCAAAGGGAAAAACAGCATCCCACAGACCCCACTGTCTCCTTTGCCTGTTCTTCTGCAAAGATTTGCTGAGCAGCAGCATGGATAGGCTTCTTTGTATCTGCTTTCAGGGACCAGTTGAGGCCTCTATAAGCAGTCTGTTAAGTCAATAGAGCATTTCTAGAGCAAACCTACAAAAGTGGCATTTTGAGGGTATAAAAACTTTGTCTATGACTGCACCCCTCCAGTGAGAACTCCCCTCACTCTATGGATGGCATCAGGAAGATACACCAAGGCTTGTTATATGAAGCTAGAAATCACTTCCTTTGTTAGTTATCTTTTTATGAAGAGAAATGTCATGTAGAGGGCATCTTAAGACAGGAATTTCTCCCCTCACTTTGGAAGTCATAGTGAAAAGATACTGACCCAGTAAGTGGATTTGAGTGGAGGAAGCTGTCAGAATGTGTGCAGGGAAGAGTGGAAGCAGCTTAGGCTGCAGGCTCAAGTTTGCACAGCCCTGCCAGTGTTAAGAACTCTGGGAAATCTGCTGACAGTGCAATACCTAGGGAGATGCATGTTTTTTCTCTTCTATTCCTATGTTTTTAACTAAAAAGTGCTTTGCAAACTATTTCTACTGTATTCATCACTTTCTGGTTTGTCACTATCTCCTTTTTGGGTTTTTGTTATTTTCTTCTTCCCCCAGTCTAAAATTTTGACTGTTTAGATGAAAAAGATGAGGCAAACTAGGCCCTCTCTGGTGGCGCAGCGGGTTAAAGCATTGCACAAAGAAGCTTAAGCCACTTCCGAATGAGTTCGATTCCCGCCTGCCCCGGAGGAGACCACATGGCGTGGCAGACCTCTCCTGACCCGCCCGCTGC